CCTCCCCTGGGGGTGGGTCTGTGTCTGTGCAGGTGGGGGTGTTTTGGTAGGGCCTAGTTAAATGTCCTTACTGCCCTGGGTTCTGTTAGCAAAGGCCAGTGGGAGCAGCGCCTGCCCTTGGACGGGGAAGGCTGGGACGACCCTTAGTTCCCGGGACAGTTTGTTCCCTGGGCTGTGACCAGCCCCCAAGGAGGCTCTGTCTCCTGCACAGATGAGATCTGCCTGGTGACAGAGAGTCCCCCTGACCCAAGGAGTGGAGCTGTTGACCCCGGTCCCCATCCCAGGGCTTTAGGCTCTGTTAGATGCGCCGGGCCCAGGCCATGGAGTGCTGAGATGCGCCGGATCCAGCCCTGGTCTCTCTAGTCCATGGGGCGCCAGTGCCGGGCGAGAGGACGGGGTGAGGGGCTCCTGGCAGCCTGTGGCGCTGAGGAGATAAACTGTGGTGACCTGCACCTACTGGCGTTTCCTGTGGGCGGGACGGCTCTGTGCCCAGGCCTGTCGTGTTGCTGGGGGCCAGCTGGGAGGTGACAAAGGTGATGGGCAGGGGATGAAGCTAACGCTGCTCTGTGCCCCCAGCCCCCCTTGGAGGTGGAGCTCTCCGAGATCATCCTGGTCAGGAACGAGGTGAACTACGCGCTCAACAACCTGTCCAGCTGGATGAAGGACGAGTTTGTGGAGAAGAACCTGGTAAGGGGAGACGCGTCCCTGGGGCTGAGCGGGCAGGGGAACCCCGCTGGGGCTGAGCTGTGGGGATGGGGGAGGAAACACCCCCCCAGGTGGAGGCCTGGGGCAGGCGGGACCAAGTATTCAGGGCTGAGCCGGGACATGCCCCCACATCCAAGCTAGGGCTCCTGTCCCCACGGTCGAGTTCAGTCCCCCACACCCACCCCAGGACCTGGGACCCGCTCCCCAAAGCTCCTGATGCCGAGGCCTCCCCCACAGGTGACTCAGCTGGACACGGCCTTCATCCACAAGGAGCCCTATGGAGTGGTGCTGATCATTGGGCCCTGGAACTACCCCTTGAACCTCATCCTGGTGCCCCTGATCGGGGCCATCGCTGCTGGTGAGTCAGGGACCTAAACCCCCCAAGCCTGGAACCTGCCCCAGGCAGAGGTCCCACCCCCAGCATGGGTCCCACATGATTTGGGGCAGGGCTCCCGACCTACAACCTCCCGCAGCCCCAAATGAGGCTCCTGGTGCGTTCGCCAGGGACACCTCCCTGCAGTGCCCCCCGGTGGTGGGTCAGGGTGCTGCGGCGAGGCCCCGGGGTGGGGAGGTGTCTGTGCTGCGCAGTGACATCCCGCCTGCCCCCCCAGGGAACTGTGTCATCATCAAACCCTCCGAGATCAGCAGCAGCACCGAGAAGCTCCTGGCTGAGACGCTGCCCAACTACCTGGACAAGGTAAGGAGCTGCCCCCTCCCCTGGCACCACGCCCATCTCCTGTTCCCAAGGCGCTGAGCCACATCTGCAGGCCTAGCACCATGCCCAGCCCCCTACCCCATGCCGAGCTGGCCCCCATGCCCCAGCCCCCCACACCCAGCTAGCCTCTGTGCCTCCCCAGTATCTCGACCTCTGGAGTGGGGCAGAGTAAAGGGGGCAGGATGAGGATCACCTCACACACCCTCCCCTTTCCAATTGCAGGACTGCTTTGCCGTGGTCACTGGGGGCCCTGCGGAGACCACCCAGCTGCTGGAGAACAAGTTCGACTACATCTTCTTCACTGGTATGTCCCAAGTGACCCAGCCCCCTCCCCTCTCCATGATCCCCTCCCCTTTCACTCCAAGGGAAACCGTTCAGCCCCCCCTACACACGTCCTCTGCCTTTCCTCTCCCAAGGGGCTGCCCCCAGAGACCAGTGCCAGGGT